ACTTTAAGGGAATGTTAAAGGGTTCTGTAGGAATATTCTGTACTTCAGTAGAAGCCATATTGCATTGTCAGTGCTTAGGAGGGTCACAGTGAATTCCTTCAGGGGATGCACATAAGGGAATTGATATTTCTCCTAATCGCCACTAATTTTGGATTGAAAAAGAGTATGGTTTGGGAGCGTCTGTCTGTTTTTGTAGGACCTGTCATTGGAAGGTATTAAAAGGGAGGGGGTGGGAAATCGGGATTGGTAGGACATGGATATGCAACCATGACAATGGATAGGTGTCCCAGGCTGCAAGAAGGTTATTAAAGGAGAACTATGAGGTGAATGCTTTTCACTCACTTCATAGTTCTAGCCGACTTGTGACAATGAGACTGTCACAGGTCGGCTCAGTAGACCGGGAGGTGAGCGAACACATACCGGCGTTCGCTCATCTCTCGATCCTGTCACGGCTCTCTGCCGTGACAGGGGAGGGGCTAGATTCCCCCATCCCTGCCCTGATCCTCCAGTGCTGACTGGCGGAACAGACGGGGGCGGGTACAGCTGGCTCTGCCTCTAGATAGGCAGAGCCAGCTGTCAGTCACGCACCTGGGCGGATCCCGGCACAATTGTCGGGATCAGCTTCAGCTGCGGCGTCTCAGTATACCGCGTGCTACAGCTCACGTTATACTGAGCCTAGGGTGACGGGAGGACGCTAGTTTGTGTCCTCCCGTTACCCTAAGGAGAACTATGGGGAAAAGCCTTAACCCCATAGTTCTCCGTCAAGGAGAACTATGAGGTGAGTGAAAATCACTCAGCCTCATAGTTCGCGCCGACGTGTGACAATGAAACTGTCACAGGTCGGCTCAATAGATCGGGAAGTGAGCGAACACATACCGTCGCTCGCTCACTTCTCGATCATGTCCCTGCAGAGAGCCGTGACTGTCACTCACAGCTCCCTGCAGGGATTCCCCCCCTCCCCTGTCCCATCCTCCAGTGCTGACTTGCGGAACGGACAGGAGAGGGGGGGCGGGTCCAGCTGGCTCTGCCTCTAGATAGGCAGAGCCAGCTGTCAATCACGCAGCTGGGTGGATCTCGACAGCTGTAGCTCGTAGTATACTGAGCTTTGGGTCAAGGGAGGATGCTAGTTTGTGTCCTCCCGTGATCCTGGGGAGAACTATGGCGAAAGCACTGAAGAGAAAAACACTGTTTACAGAAAAGAGGCAGATAGTTTACAATATATAGAATCTGAAAATAGTGAGGTGATTAGGTTCACACTTGTATGGGGAAGATCTATGCAGGGTATGAACCATGGAAAGCCGTAACAAGATATTGAAAGCTATAGGTTTGGTGTGGTTGACCTGGAGGCCTGATAGACTGCTGAACTGTTTAAGCAAGGTAATCAGGCAACTAACAATTTGGTGAGGAACAGTAAGATGTCATTGGCAAATGGGCTGAGCCTATCGTGATGTCTGGCATCATCGAGACCTGTGATAGGGTGATCTCTGATAAGTTGGCCCACAGGTTCTATGGACATTATCTCCCGCATAAACCTTGATCTTCATGAATCAGCCTCTCGATGCTCAAGATTAGTTTAACAGCGAGAATTATCAGTAGACGCTTATTGTAAATATTGAGTAGAGATAATTGTCTAAAATTGGCACACCTAGTGTTGTCGGTATTAGGTTTCGTAATCATTCATGCAGTCGTTGTAAGGGACTCCAGTCTAAAGGTGGCCATACACTTTACAACTATCGCAGGACCTTAGTCTTGCGATGGTTGTAAAGTAATTTAAAAAAACGTACGATCTGCCCATCTTGGACAGGCAGATCGTACTCTCGATCACCGCAAGCCGCCCCGCTGAGGGGCGGGCTTCCAATGACCGCAATGCTGAACGGCCAGTGTGCACACCGGCCCGTTCGGCATTTGCCTCCCGAGCACCGTTCAAACCAGCCGAAAATCGTACGATTTTCGGCTGGTTTTCTAGCATGCTCCTTAGACAAAAGACGTGCGACCGTACAGTAGAAACGGTCTCGCGTCTTCGTTCACACTGCTCGATTCTCGTACGATCGCGGGATTTCCCACGATTCTCGTACGAGAATCGAGCAGTGTATGGGCACCTTAAGGGTATGCTTATGTCGTAGGCTGTTGAAAGCGTCCATTATCAAGGAAGGGCAGGATGTCAAAGAACGTTTTGTAGTAAATAAGAACTGAAATAACAACTTTGTAATGACACACTCCATGGAATATCTCTCCTCCTGCACTATTGTATCAAAAATATATATTTCAGTCTCCTCTGTTGCACTATTTTATCAGTTGAATAAGTTTCAATGTAAACATCTTCCTGACTGTGTATCCCCCACAGTGGTCACAACCTCATTGGCCACATTTAGTATGACACTCTTAAAACCCTCTGCACAGTTTTATATACATATAACTCCAACGCAGCAGCACAAATAGGAACAGCATCCTTCTCCTCAATCTCTGTCACCATAATAGCCTGCTTTTTACAAGATTATAAACATGTAGAATAATGTCTCTCTTCCCCAGTAACACCCCACCAATATCACTATTCTAGGAAATAGTACCGTATTCTGGCACGGGACACTGCCTTCTGTTGTCACTCCACACCATTCTCACCGGCATTTCTCACGCAGCTGATAGACCTACATCCAGGTTCCAACCTGATGAATGCTGCGCACACGGTCTCAAATGGAGTTGGGGGAGAAAATAGTCCTTGGCAAGAGAGGAGAGAAAGTAGCTAAGTTGTGTGATTCTCCATTATTATTACATAGTATTTATATAGCGCCAACAGTTTGCGCAGTGCTTTACAATATAAGGAAGACATTACAATCACAAAACAATTCAAGACAAGATGGTAGGGAGGGCCCTGCCCCTGGGGCTTACAATCTAAAAGAGGAGGGGGAAGTGATACATGAGGAGGTAGCTGTGTGGGGACGAATTGTTTGAGAACGTGATGGTTGAGTGGTTAGGTTGAGGTGGGATAGGCTTCCTTGAAGTAATGAGGGTATCCATTTGTCAATACCCTGGGCAAACTATTGAAGTAGACCAAATAAGTCTAGAAAGTGGTTCCTAAAATAAATATGGAGCCTTTTAAAAAGTGGGTTGCTGAGGATTGAAAGAAATATCAAGATGCCCTGGTGCTTCCTTTTAGAAAACTGTGGATGCAGCATAGGCATAGCCAGGGCAGCCATCAGGGGGGTACAGCCGATGGTCATGTAAGGGGCCTGGGGGGCCCGCCCGGGTCCCTTACATGACTATCGGCCGACAGTGAAGGGCAAGGAGGCGGAGGCCTGGCCCTAGCAGCGCAGGGCACTAGAATTGCCGCTCCAGCGGCTTTGAGACAAGCTAGGGCCCCATCAGCGACGCTGCTCGTCTGATGTCGGACTGGCCGTTCCGGCGTCAGACGAGGCCATGTGTGCAGGTAAGAGGAGGTAGGAAGGAAGGAAAGGAGGGATGCAGCCCTGACCAGCCCACCTGAGACCCCTTCAGAGCCCACCATAGACAGTCTCAGATGGGCTGTGCAGCATCTATGGTGGACTCTGCAGGGACACTCTCAGGTGGGTCCTGTGTCCAGCACGTCACTAAGCCCTGCGTCCAGCGGGGGGGGGAGGGTTACCGGCCTGAAGCCGTGTAAGGGGCCCCAAAATTTCTGATGGCTGCCCTGGGCATAGCATATCTCTTGGTCTCTGTGATGGTTGGTTGGTGTTGATGGGCCTATTGTGCTGTAAATGCAGTTCAAGTCCTGGTCGTTGGTTCGAGTCGAGTTCATCTCTCTGTCACTCTATCTTCCTTTCAGCTTGCTCCTTGAACTGCAGTACAACTAATTGGCTCCTTGTGCTGCTTCTCCCTCCCAATTCTGAGCTCTGGTGGGACTGCAAAGGGCTACTACCAGCTCAAATGAAGGTACTTACACTGATTGCATTTAAATAACGCATTGAATAATGTATTAGTAAATACAGTACTGCATTCATTTGTAGATTCTATATTTACCTTAACCCACAAATATAGCGACAATGTGTACAGAACAATATGGCAGCCAGAATCACCCTTTGCAAAGATCTGCTTCACCAGCTTCTTCTCCGGATATAGCAGCCAGAGAAATGACAGGCTGAAGTGAAACAGTACACATCACGTCCACATTCGGTGATGGTGGAAGTGTGCTGATCTCCCTCCAATCTCTGTACAGAGAGCCGCTGTGCCGGTCCCAGGCCCGCATGGGGGTTGGCGGGCAGGTATTTTTAAGAGTCATCTCCCCGCCACCCCAGCAGATGCTGCGCGGCCGTGCCACATGCTCCCTTTGCACCCCCCAGCTTCGGCATTGGCACCGATTAACCCCTCCCTCTCACTGCCCTGCTCGGACAAGCTTCGGTCCGTCGGAGCAGGCTATGCTTGGGCATAGCAGGCCAGGCCGCACACTTCCTCCTCTCTGGGCCCCCCCAACAGGCGGAACGCCAGGGCCTGGTCGCGCTTGTGACCTCTGCGACCCTGGTAGTTCCGCCAGTGGTGGTTACATTGCCACGTCTGGGGGCCATATGGGCAAACACCAGCCCTCTAGCTATAGTTAAACTACAAAATCCCATTACGCATCTGTCTGTGGGAGTCATGCCTGTGGCTGAGAGAATCTTGCAATGCCTCATGGGATTTGTAGTTTCACCACAGCTGGAGGGCTGGAATTTGCCCACCCCTGATGTAGATAAAAGGTAGCCACCGTCATAAAGGAAGTAAGAGCAATGCAGATTTGAAATTCAGATTTTGGGATGTCTATAGGTAATTGTATTGAATTTGATTTTCTGTTCTATCTCATTGGTTTGGCGACACTGAGCTGTAGACATAATTTCTTTCACCGGAAAGAAACTTCCAATTGGGTCTTCACTCTGTCCGCTAGATGGCGCAGCACACAAATGAACAGTCCCAGTGCATAGCGCAATCGGGCGGAGCGAAGAGTGCGCGCTGCGTCCCACTTCAGTAGGCGGGCCTCGGCGCTTCTCACTGCGCATGCCTATATGACGTCATGGGGCCGCGCCGCCCCTATATGAAGCAAGCGAGGCGCTGACTCGTTCCTTTTTACTCCCCACCCTTAGCTGGCGCTGAAGCTCCAGCAGCACTCTCCGGGACGCCGACACCCAATTCACCGTCACCATGATCATCTTCAGGGATGTCATCAGCGGTAAGTAGACGGTCCTCGGCAGGTTATGGTCGCCGCTCGTTTTGCCGGCTGCTGTTGGTCTGGTTAGATTACATGATAGTATTGATGGCTCAGCGGGGCCTTCCTGTATGCGCGCGCCGGTGTGGTGGGGGAGGACGGATACCAACTATACATTAGTCGCGGTGCTGAATTTATTGCTTCCCGGTCTCTTCAATCAGAGGCCGCCTCGTGGGCCCATTCTTGGGGGAGGGGACGCGTTCTATCTGGCTAGAAGGCGCCATGTTTTGTGAATCCGGCACACGAGCCCTTATAGGGACACGATTTAGACCGGCTGCGTATTGCGACACCTTTTTACTGGCTCGCTCGGGTTCCCCAGTCTGTGTGGCGATAAGTCTGCGACGCCACGGACTTTTTGTGCGTCATCCTGTGAAGGAGGAATGGGCGGGAAGCTGCGGATGTTGGGTGTGGGAGGGGTGTTGCCGGGCAGATTAGGTGAGAGGGCGGGGCCACGGCACAACTTTGTGATGACGTTGGAGCTGCTCTCAGTTTACTTAGGTTGGAGAGCGGATATCTGCTCCTGTCCCATATGACCGGATAACTCGGCCCTCACAATAAATGGAGCCTTGGCGCTATGACTGAAGACACGGCACCGTGTAATTCTAACCAGCTGCCACACACAGGAGGCAGTGCTGGAACCAGGCCCAGATCTGGTGATGACTGCATGAGATCAGCATGTCCACTGCTGTCTGCAGTATTTCCAATTGTTCTGGCTGGATTAGAATGGTGTTGGGCGCTAATCTTCCTTTCACAGTTCTATTTTATTTATCTAATGCGGACTTCTTGCATAGTGCTTTACTTGCTGTATGTTCACATCTGTGTCCCTGTATTTGGAGCTTACAGTGTAAGGTCCCCATCTCGCACGGATGGAGGGAGCGTACAGTGTAAGGTCCCCATCTTGCACGGATGGAGGGAGCGTACAGTGTAAGGTCCCCATCTTGCACGGATGGAGGGAGCGTACAGTGTAAGGTCCCCATCTTGCACGGATGGAGGGAGCGTACAGTGTAAGGTCCCCATCTTGCACGGATGGAGGGAGCGTACAGTGTAAGGTCCCCATCTCGCACGGATGGAGGGAGCGTACAGTGTAAGGTCCCATCTCATTTATATGCACAGATACTAGGACCCGTTCAGACAGGAACTAAAAACGTCATCCCCTTTGGAGTATGGGAGGTAATTGTAAACTCTTACAAGTGCTAGGAGAACCTCCAGATAGTGTCCTGACTTTAAAGCAAGGACAGAAATGTTTAACCCCAAGTCAATGTGCTGCCTAATCTCATTGGGTTTGCTGTCTTTCTATAATTTAAAATTCTTGATTCTCTAAATACCTGAAGTATGAACACATTATTTTTAACTGCTGTGGGTTGCAGCTCAGTTGGACCACAATCTGGTGGATAGAGTAGCAGGCATGACATAATTGCAGTGTTTAGTTAGCCAGGACATCTGTTTGCTGTGACAATGGTGGTCAGGCATGTTAGTTACTTTGAGCTCTCGCTGGTAAAATCTGAATTCTAGCCTTCCTTCAGTCTTGCACACTTGTACAAGCTCCTCTCCTGGCATTGAAATGGCTTAAAGTGACATTAAACCATCAGATTTTTTTAACATAAACCAATACTGTAATGTGTGCCTTACTGTAATCCATGGTTGTTTCCCTTCTCTTTGCTGCTCTTCCTTTTAAATCCTCATGTCTTATGCTTGGGGAGAACTTCCCTTTGCAGCTGAGTGCCTCTTCCTGTAGTGCTGGCTCAGGTTGCAAACCTACACACAGACACCATGTAGCCATTCCAGAGACAAGGCAGTCTGCTGCAAAACAGTTCTGCCCAGCATGAGAAGAGATACGGATTTAAAAGGAAGAGCAGCAAAGAGAAGGGAAACTACCATTGATTACAGTAAGGCACACATTACAGTATTTTATGTTACAAATCTGAGGGTTTAATTTGACCTACACATTGAGCTTCTCATATTGTGCATTAGTTGCTGCACCAAGTCAGAGCCTGCCACATATCCTGGCTCAGACACCCAGCATTAACTAGCCCTTTCATCCCCAGCCTGAACTGGCCCATCCCATTCAGTCATCGGATTTCAGCTTTTTCAGTTGTAGAGGCTCAGCATCGGATGGGCATTACCTAGGGTGTTCTGTAGACTTTAGAAATGCCTAGCACTGCCAACTAATCTCCACCCCTGAAGGTGGTCTGATCCTGCTTCAATCTGCTGTTCTTGCAGAACCCTGTCTTTGCTGCATTAACATTACAAGTAATTGTGTTAGCTCTCTGGAGTTATGCCGGGTGTTCTGTAGTCTAACAAGGATAACAGGGTTTGGGATTTCAGTGCCACGGTAGCGCAATTCATTTTTTGTGAGGTATACAATACTGTAATGTGTGCCTTACTGTAATCCATGGTTGTTTCCCTTCTCTTTGCTGCTCTTCCTTTTAAATCCTCATGTCTTATGCTTGGGGAGAACTTCCCTTTGCAGCTGAGTGCCTCTTCCTGTAGTGCTGGCTCAGGTTGCAAACCTACACACAGACACCATGTAGCCATTCCAGAGACAAGGCAGTCTGCTGCAAAACAGTTCTGCCCAGCATGAGAAGAGATACGGATTTAAAAGGAAGAGCAGCAAAGAGAAGGGAAACTACCATTGATTACAGTAAGGCACACATTACAGTATTTTATGTTACAAATCTGAGGGTTTAATTTGACCTACACATTGAGCTTCTCATATTGTGCATTAGTTGCTGCACCAAGTCAGAGCCTGCCACATATCCTGGCTCAGACACCCAGCATTAACTAGCCCTTTCATCCCCAGCCTGAACTGGCCCATCCCATTCAGTCATCGGATTTCAGCTTTTTCAGTTGTAGAGGCTCAGCATCGGATGGGCATTACCTAGGGTGTTCTGTAGACTTTAGAAATGCCTAGCACTGCCAACTAATCTCCACCCCTGAAGGTGGTCTGATCCTGCTTCAATCTGCTGTTCTTGCAGAACCCTGTCTTTGCTGCATTAACATTACAAGTAATTGTGTTAGCTCTCTGGAGTTATGCCGGGTGTTCTGTAGTCTAACAAGGATAACAGGGTTTGGGATTTCAGTGCCACGGTAGCGCAATTCATTTTTTGTGAGGTATTTTTGTGTTCTCAATCGGCCGTTCTCTTTTCACAAATAATTACCGGGTGAACTAACTATTGCTATATGGCCTTTGGGGCTGTGTGCTGTCGTCATTGCAGAGTACTGTGGTAAGGACTATGGGAGGGTGTTGTGACATCACTTTTCAGCTTTTGTGAACGCTTTACGTACATGCAGAAATACAGCTTTATGGCTGGCATAACCTCTTTAAACTGGATTTCTGATGTTTTATTTCAGGAGATGAAATGTTCTCAGACATTTACAAATTAAAGGAAGTCGGTGGTGGGCTGTGTTTTGAAGTTGAAGGAAAGGTGAGTGTTTCCTGGAGAGGAGCCTGTCTCTGTAAAGCCCCTTTCAGACAGGTGGTCCGATCGAGTCACCTGTCAGACCCAATCAGATGCTCAATGTAAGTCTATGGGCAGATCAGAAATCTGTTTCTCCAGGCCTGATTGTGCTGAATTGGGTGTAACCTGAGCACTGATGCCTTCCTGATCAGCCTGTTTGAGAGGGGCCTAAAGAAAATGTAATTGTAAAGTTAATCGGCCATATATGTCTCCTGTTTGTGGGTTCTAGTAACCTGGTGTGGCAATCAAATACTATATAAACAGCGGAGTAAAGGCCTCAAAAGTACAAGGAGATGTGTAGTGGTGGTGACTAATTGTATCCAGCTCCTCTTTCTAGAGCTGTTTGGAAAATGTTTGCCATGGGCAGTACCACATCCCCCCACTTGTATGGCACTCCTTCAAATGTAATGTCTACTTCAGTAGTGAGTGAATGATCTGTTTTTAATGAGGTGACCTATTCTTATTTAGACAATCAGCAGAAAAGAAGGCGACATTTCTGATGCTCTTATCGGTGGAAATGCATCGGCTGAGTGCCTGGAGGAAGGAGCTGAAGCTACAACAGTCACTGGGGTTGACATTGTGATGAACCACAAACTCCAGGAAACTGGCTTCACCAAGGACTCATTCAAACAGTACATTAAGGACTATATGAAATCGTAAGTGATTCATGCCATCGGAGATGTGTTGTGGACCTGAAAAGGTGTTTGGGTCTAGTGACCATGTGATAAAGACTGCAAGAAGCAATTGACTCCACACTGTGTGAAATGGGAATAATAAGTCACTTTGGATAATGCCATGGCCCTCCATGCCCTAAACCTTTGCAGCCATTTTCCTTGTACGGTCTAATACTTTCCCATTGCTTCAAAATTAGTCAGTGTGAAAAGATACTTGTACAGAGTAACAGGATATTGCTGACTTTTCTGAAATCGGTTCCCTGTCTCTAGCTTCTAGTTGCAGATGGAAGTTGGCACTGACCTACATGCTTGTCCTTGATGTTTAAAGCCATTGGATGAACATGACAGCCAGGTACCTGTGCATATTGGAGTCACCAATGCCAGCCACCTTATTTATGTTGGTACAGGTTGCCTAGAAAGCAGAAGTCCCAAACTATAACCCCCTCCCCAGCCATAAATGTTTAACATTGGTTATGCCACTGGGGAGGTTTTCCCACAACCTGTGACATGCATACAGGTAACTGGAAGTGTGGTTGTCCCTGAATACAAAGGAATGAACAAAAAAACCTTGTCAGAATTTCTAACACTACTAAAAATTGTTTAGGAGAAGATTCATGCTGCTTCCTGCCCTGAAAGTGAGGGAGAATCTCCCTTGGGGGCAAATGAATTGCATTTACAAGTTGGACTTTCACATCAGCTCCACTGTCTCCCCTCTAGATCTACAGTGCAGCAGCCTGCCAATCTGGCGACTGTCCTGCTGAATTTTGCTTCTGGGCGACAATCCTAAACAAGTCCCTAATTCAACTTCTATATAATGCACAAGTTAACAAACATCCTTTACCTTCCCAGACTGAGCCAAGTCCTTCAAGTGACCTTAAACCTATTTATTTTTATAAATTGCACCTTTAATTCCGGACTCGCACATTTCTTGGCAAGCCACACCCCTCTTCCCACCTCCTCACAGTACCTGGGCAGCTGCGGCAGTCTGTTGCTGCCATTAGTGGCCTCAGGATCCTACCCCTCAACACAACTTTGGGGAGACCAAGCAGATTGTCTGGGAGCCAGTGACTGTGATCATGGACTCTAAGTGTTTTAGGGGAGACATTGAAAGGTAGCAGGGTTTTTTTAAATTTACCTTTTAATGCAGATAATGCATTCAGGTAAACAATTGACTTTCAGTATTTAACTTCTCACATTCTTCCCCTCCCAGACACTACAGCTTACAGTGGGTGGGTTTTGGCAAGAGGCAGGGCCATGGGTCCAGAAAGCAGGGGGCAGAGCGAGATGTGGCTTGGTGGTGGTTGACAAGCCGGTGGCTCCGAGAGCAGCAGGGACTATGCTGACGGCCATGCCCCTTGCAGCATCTTATCCCACAATAGTGCAAGCAGGCACAGCCTACAGAAGTGCTCTGAATTCAGGAGCAGCCCATCACCTTTGCCACACATTACAGGAAGCTGAGTTGGGTGGCTTTCACTGGCTGAATCAAGTATTTGTAGGGCTTTGCAGGGGGACGAAGAATTCAGTGTTTCTGGTGCAGCAAATCCTTTTTTTAAATGGGAGGCCATACATGGTTCAACTTGCCAAATGAGCTGAATCAAGACTATCCCATCACCTGCTATATTGCTTCGGTTATGGGTGGAGGTGAACTAAAATTCACATTTCATCTGTTTTTATGGAAACAATTTGACAATGATGACTATCTTAGGACACCTTTGGAGGATATGTTCCTATGAAACCAATGATACGTCTGAGCATTTGTCTGAGTTGGTGGTGGTGACCTTTCATAATATTGTGCCTATTTAACTTGTTTGTGGGTTTTTTCAGACTCAAATCTTATCTAGAAAAGAACAAGCCTGACAGAGTGAAGCCTTTTATGTCCGGAGCGTCAGAAAAAATCAAAGAAATACTTGGAAACTTCAAAAACTGGCAGGTATGTGTTGTAATAGGACTGGCGGATGAGAAGTCAATGTGTTGGAATGTATTGGGCTCTGGGTATGAAAATACTGACTAAGCTGTTCTCTAGTTTTACACAGGAGAGTCAATGAATCCAGATGGCATGGTGGGGTTTTTGGATTACCGTGAGGATGGTATTACACCTTACATGATTTTCTTCAAAGATGGCCTGGAAATTGAAAAATGTGTAAGTTGATGCAGTTTAACTTCATTATTGGCTTTCTTGAACAGGTTTTCACTGGAAACTAATATTGGTTTCACAAAGCTCTTATTGGATTTGTGGCAGAGGGAAAGTATAGAAGGCTCAGTGACACTCCAGGCACATACAATGAATTCAGCTGCACAGGAAAACCTGGGTTATCCATAAAGCTACTTCATCTCCTGTTATGGGGGCTGATCTGGTCAACATGTCACTTTGCTGGGTGACAAGCGCCTATCTGCACCCATGTAGTTCAGTGCTGGCAAAGATGTTCAAATGCAGAGACTCTTTGTCTGTGGGGCAGGGAGAGGCATTGCAGCTGGCCACTCCTAAGGGATGCAAGCCATTCTCTTGCTGACACACTCATGAGTCAAACTACATAATGACTTGCTGCGCAGGGTTCATGGGAGTGGTAGTTTGAGAGCGGATGAAAGCTTATGGCAGCCTTGGTTCTGATTCAGATTTCTCCCCAGACCAATGTGAGGAGCACTACTAGTGTGCTAAATTCTGCTCCCCATTCCCTCTAAGTGTAACTTTCTAATCCTGTCCAGTGTACCATGAGTTTTAGGTATCATTTTAATGGTTTAGCCCAGGCTATGAATTCAGGGGTTCCTCCATGGTAGAGTTTGGCATAGGGTGTCCTGGAACATCCTCCTTAGGATAGTGGAGTTGTCTGCACTATACCAGGGCTATTGCTGGAGACTTGATACCTGGAGGGTGTATCTGAGTAAAATAGCTGGGCTCTACTGAATTTTAAAAGATAACGCTTCACCCTTGACCTTATTATAGAATGGATTGGGCAGGTTTGAGTTATACTGTGTACACGTAGATTGGGGATGGCCTTGGAACACCGTGAATGCCAATCACCTTGCATTTTCCCTGACTGTGCTGGTTTTAGAGGGGCTCTGAGCCACCACTTCAGAAAATGCCATGTGCTGCCCACTGTGGTATGGAAAATAAGTTATCTTTTGTGGGTGCACAAGTTATCTGGTGTTTCCAGAGTTTTCTGGGTACCAGAACTTTATTTCAAAGCTCTGATATGAGATTTATTTTTTAATTGGGGAATTTATTGGTAACTTGTAGGGTTATAGCTTCATGAATGGAAGGTGGATTTTATTAGTGGCTTTTATTCCAAGCTTACAGTTTATGCTATTGGGCAATGGGGAGTTCAGTTTAAGAACCCTTACTCAGTGTATTGTAGACATGTGAACAATGAAGCTGGCAATACGAAGTCTGACATTTAGGGAGATATTTTGGTAGCCTGTGGACTCTAAAATGACTACTTTGGCCTACAACTTAATCTCCTGCATCCATTGATAGACCATGAGCTGCATACAATTGCCTTCTGGTTTGCACAGAGATGCTATAGAAACCTCCTCGCGCTTTCTGTCAGGCTGACACTGTAGCTTGATCAGTTTGAATAGAGGAGTACACTTTGCTGTATGGAGTTTAGGTGAAATAACACCTCATGTATCTTTCACTTTTTAATGGGGTATTTCTCTATTTTACAGTAACAATTTGGATTGTCTGCCACAACAAACTGCTGCTGATTTCCATTCATACCACACCAGGATTAAAGTCTTATGACCAACTCAAACTGGACTGTTATCATCAGGCGTCATTATTTCACCCCTAAATTATTGGAGTGGAGGATATTTTTAAACTTTTTTTTTTTTGTCATTTAGTCCAAATAAAATCATACTCCACTCTAGTTAATGCTTTGTGCTGTCCTTGCTGTTTGCATGTGTTCAGACTGCAACTGTGCCTGTTGCCTCATTTGATCTTTGCACACAAGTGGGACCTGTCTGTGATAGTTCTAGGAATGGATTGCAACTAACTTCAGGCTACCTCATCGAGCTGCTGTAGCTGTATGGCACTCCACAGAAGCCAATTCACTATCACTCTGAAGTGCCTACAGACTATGAAAATAATCATGGACATTATATGATCTCACTTGTCATGTAATACAAAGAACTAGTTTTCTCCAATGGGAGGAGGCCACAGATGAGCACTGTTTACTGTTGTGGTGCAGTGTGGTTTGAAAGGGTAAATGCAACTTAAATAAACACTGTATCCCCCTAAACCGGTTACAGATTGTGAAAGGTCAATGGAGCCTTTACATGGGACACTCTGATCTAAACCCTGCCCAGTGACATGTTCTGTGTCAGGTCGGTATTGCCATTTTACAGTTTAGGGTATTGTCTGTGGACTTGCTATACAGGAGAAGGCACAACGCCTCAAACTGTTCTGGGAATATTTAGGGTAACTGCCAATGAAGGAGACAAATGCAATTTTGTGCAGTGCTTGGCATACAAGTGCCTCTCCGGCTTCAAGAGCAGTTTGGGTTTGCCTCTCTTTATACAGTCCAGCGCTTGGAGCGTCCCATGGTCTCTGGGGGGGCATAGAATCCAGTGCTTGGCGCTTCCCATGGTCTCTGGGGGCATACAATCCAGCGCTTCCCATGGTCTCTGGGGGCATACAATCCAGCGCTTCCCATGGTCTCTGGGGGCATACAATCCAGCGCTTCCCATGGTCTCTGGGGGCATACAATCCAGCGCTTCCCATGGTCTCTGGGGGCATACAATCCAGCGCTTCCCATGGTCTCTGGGGGCATACAATCCAGCGCTTCCCATGGTCTCTGGGGGCATACAATCCAGCGCTTCCCATGGTCTCTGGGGGCATACAATCCAGCGCTTCCCATGGTCTCTGGGGGCATACAATCCAGCGCTTCCCATGGTCTCTGGGGGCATACAATCCAGCGCTTCCCATGGTCTCTGGGGGCATACAATCCAGCGCTTCCCATGGTCTCTGGGGGCATACAATCCAGCGCTTCCCATGGTCTCTGGGGGCATACAATCCAGCGCTTCCCATGGTAGGGGGGGGGGCATACAATCCAGCGCTTGGAGCTTCCCATGGTCTCTGGGGGCATAAAGTACACATCAGTTTCTAACCCACTTATATTCTAGGAAAGTTTAAATGGTGCCATACTTTTAACTAACGATTGCACCCTTTAAATACAGGGAGTTGCAAACAAGGTGACTGCTGGGAAGTCTGTAGCCCAGAACTGCTTATTGAATATTCCACAAGCTTAGCTTTGTGTGACGGACCACAACTAGATGCAGTAATTCTAAATGTCAAACAACCAGTAGAGCACAATTGTCCTCGTACCCTCAAGGAGTTTGCACCGGTCTATACTGTTGTGCTAAAGCCCTAAACTGTTCTGTTCTTCCTCCACCTGCCTATGGTGTGTAATTCTAAGACCACACTGTAGGCATCCCATATGCCCAATGCATGCAATGGCACCATGGAGCTTTCTCAGTTACAAAGACGTGAGATTATGTAGCTGAGCAGCCCCAACCTGTATCTGATCTGCAGGAGGTTGGGATTAGAATTGCCCACATGTGCTGCATGGTTAAATGGTCTAAAGCGTTTCATATCCTTGTCGGCCCTTTGTGTTGTCGGGGTTTTAAATGACCCTCTACTCTGGCAGTGTCATGCAAAGTTTGAATTACCAAGCTTTATTACAGATTTACTTTAAATGGTGAACCAGAAGTATGTTGGATTTGCAATGATGCATCAATGCAGTAGGGGTGTTCACATCTAACTCATAACATGTTAGAACAGTAGTTATTTTATGAGGCATAGGGGTTCATCAAAGGTTCAGTATATGCAATACTACAGATGGTGTGCAGTCTTTTGTAGTATGTACTTTGTTGTAACCTGTCTCTAACCACAGACTGCTAGAGATCACTGCAATTTTGTCTCTATGAATGAGTGCTGCTGTGGCCGTGGTGAGTATGGCACAAGTATTGTAGGGCTGCAGGTTGGGCACTGGAGGTTAGAATCTGTCAGGCACTGCAACAAGTGGGTAAGAATCTCTCGGGACTGACAATTCTACTTCTGACACTTGTCATGGAAACAAGTGTCCTCATTACACGTAGCAGTGTTTAAATGTTTTTTGTTGGCTGGTGTCCTTAGGTGGAAGATGTCTGTTTACTTGCCTTCCCTGGAATTTTTCAGTTAAATTTTCTCTTGCTGCCTCTGGTGCTGGTTTTTTTTTACAGCTTTGGGAACCAGACCCTGCTGATGGAAGATGTGGGGATCTGTAGTGTACATGCATTGGGCATCCACCTTGGTATCTGGTGCATTAGGTTAGTCCACACTGCTGTTTGGTTGACTGTAGCCTGGTGGGTGAGTCCTGGTGTATGCCCTCTGCTGATTAAGCTTTGTGTACCCCCTTCCTGTGTTCCTGGCTCTTGTGTGCTACATCTGCTGTATTTCTTCTCCCTTTGTGGGTGCTGCTGTGGTGACTGATCAGTTCTCTCTGAGCTACATTTTGTATTTCCTTTTTTGTGCTTTGTCTGATTAGAATTGATATGGAGGGGGGGTATTTTGGTGATCCTGGTAACTCCCAATTGGCATAGACTGTACACAATGCTTTGGCTTCTGGCAGCCTCCATAGCCACTTTCAGACTGATCAGTGTCTCGTATGTCCTTCGGCTTCTCAGTTGTTGGATTTGGCTTGGCTGTTCAAGCTTGGGTCTTGAGGTCTGTTCAGTCATTACTACGCTGTTACATAACAGGCAGTCCACCTCTTGCAAGGTGTGAATAGACAAGGTTTCATCCTCGAGTACTTCAGGGGACATGTTTTGGTCTTCCTCCAGTTGGGACTGCATCGGAATGTACCCTGAACACTCAAGGGACAAATATTGTCCTTGGTGTCTTGTTCTTTGGTAAAGGCAATTGAGCTAATGTAGCTCCCCTATATGCCCCCCTCCAGTGACTCTGTGGGATCTCAATCTGGTTTTGGTCCCCAGCAAGCTCCTTTTTGAGTTTATTATGGGCAGGGTGGCCTTCCTTGTGCCATCACCTCTTCTAGGAGAGTTTTGGAGTTGGCAACGCTGTCAAGCAAAGAACTTTTCTTTGGTCTTCACAAGCAAAAGGTGGTTTTCAGGCTTTTTTTTTTTTTTTTTTTTGTCCTGGGCAAAATACTCTAGTGAGGTTGTACCAAATGGTTGTGGTCTGGGCCGTCTCCGTTTACCTCTCGGCTACACTGTCTTTCAGGCAAAACAAAGTGCCCCTTTTTGTCCTTGCTCCTCATTCCACCATATCTTGAAGGATCTGACAAGTCATTGTGCATGCCTACTCTGCAAAAGGTAGTTCTGGGTGCTTTCCTGTTGCAGTACATTGTAGATCTATCAGTGCCTCTTGGGTCTTTCAGGGTGGGCCTCTTTTCAAATTTGCAATGCTGCCACCTAGTCTTGTGTTCATCTATTTACTAGGTGGATGTTTCTGCCAATAACTGTTAAACAACCCTGGGAGTGGTTGAGTCCCCCACAGCTCTGGCCAGTGTCAATCACCTAACAATACCTGCATGTTACTCGTTTCTATCTGCACTATATCAAACATTTTCCTTCTATGTTATCGCAACAAAAATGTTACACACTTCTGTAAAAAAAAAAATATTTTCAACCATCGGACACATGATTTTTAGATCCAGGAGCATTGGAAGCCTGTCCATGGATTCTTGGTATGGACAAAACACTGCGTGTGGCTGACATGAGCAGGAAATGTCTATGAGATGCCTATTAAGCAGAAAAAGGAGCTCTTCTAGGTGGCAGTAAATAAGTCATTTAAGGTCTAATCCATGAGAAATAAAGGCTTGTGCTAGTTAGAGCAAGTATAGTCCAGACTTTTGTATAGAGCAGGCAAGGATTACTTTTTTGAGGTGATTTGCTTTCACATCTTGTTAGAGACTGAACAGGAAATCTAACATGTGAGCGATAGTTCTCCTCAGCACTTGTTCTGGTGAGAACTGTAAAATGCTGGCTTTCCCCACACTTTCTCAGTTGCGGTGATTATTAGGACAAACACAGCGATGGCACATTTTGCAATCCTTTCCTACACAAGCTTGCCTGTACAAACACTTTAATTTGGGGGGTAGCCAAAGATGGGCTCTCCAGCTGTGGTGAAACTACAAATCCCATGAGGCACTACAAGACTGACAGCTACAGGTATGACTCCCAGAGGCAGATACATGACAGGATTTCTGGTTTCACCAAAGCTTGCTGTTCCTGGGGCCGTTTTGCATAAAAATAATTCTACACAAACTCTGCTGTATTTGTGAAATATAAATGATGTGATAAAACAAGTCAGAGGCTTCAGGAAGGGTCGCTTGTTACAATGCGCAGTGAGGAAAATAATGATCTGACCTGCAGATTTGTAAGTTCGCACACTTACAAAGAAATGAAAGGTTTATAATTTTTATCATAGGTGGATTTTAAATGATAGACACAGAATAACAACCAAACATCCAGAAAACACACATGATACAAATGTTATAAATTGAGTTGCAGTTGAGTGAGTAAAATAAGTATTTGATCCCCTACCAACCAACAATAATTCTGGCTCCTCCCACAGACTGGCTATGTGGTACACAGATTAGTCCTGTCAATTTAAGAAGATGCTCCTACCGACAACTTATGTATATAAAAGACCAGGGCTCAAAATTTCCACTCGCCCCCGTGAAAATTGCGTGGGGGCGAGTGGAAATGAAGCCATTGAGTCAGGCACTCCTCGGGGCGGCTTCTCTCTTCCTCACCGACGCGATGACAGCGCTCCCTTGTCCGGGGTCGCAGGAGGGAGCGCTGCCTGCTGTCAGGATGGCCGAGGGGGAGAGAAGCCGCTGTCAGCTGTCAGGATGGCCGAGCG